TCACTGTTCTCAGAATAATCACACATCCAAACTATCCTACTTATTGTGTAGTAAATTCAATGTTCTCACATCTAGGACAATCTATTACGCCCAACACCTACATGGCGATTAAGCTTACTGGCAATGGTTGTTCTAACCCACCTACTGTCGGTCTCTGGACAGCCTAATAGCCCCCCGAGTCGAGTACGACACTGAAGTGAACAAAGGTAATGTTGAATATCTGAATTTATATATATATATATATATATATATATATATATATATATGTGGCATTATAAACCGAAGATTTCCCATTTGCTTTGACTACCAATGGCTTGAGCCTCTTTATCGCTTGCACCCAATTCCTGCCTTTCATTTAATTTTGTAACGGTTCTCTCTGCTTCCGATTCTCGGTCCGAACTGGGAACCGAAGGTAGGATTTCCGGGATGGAAAGGGGCACATCGACCATAAATCGACTAGCCAACAACAATCCTTTATCAATGCCCCCGCATTAAGTGACTTGCTCTCAGAATTACGGCATACACTCAGTAAACATTCGGACTGCACAAAAGTTTCAATTATTTTTATTTTGAGGACCGGATTCGTCGTAGTTCCACGAGCTTAAATTATTCATACTAACGGCGAAAACACAACCAACCAATTCATCCGACAATGCTCAACACGCAAGGGTGACACCATGAAAAATGCATTTCATGAAAACGTAGTGTACGCCCATCATACTCATCTTGCAGCCACACCGATACCACAAATGCCAAGTTAGCTCTCATGCTCTTTCGTGGTCGAATTTCGAGGCAGACAGAGTCCCGCTCGGGTCATGGATGTATTGACCAAACCCCTATCAAACACAACTACGAGGGTAAATAACGTTGGTTCAGGGGGTCGCACTCTTATGTCCTTCCTGTGTTCCGAACACCGTTGGCGATGACGTCACCGAAAAGCCGAATATCGCTTGCACTCTTATGGCTCGCCAGGTAGATTGGTCCCGAGTTGAGAAATTGGATGACATACGGGACTTATGCGAATTTAATTAGCGAAACTCAAGCAGAATTTGACGTAAAACCTCGTCAAAGTTTACGGAGAGCCCGTCAGCACAAATTTACCACAGCTGCCCTGTCAACCTAATTTTTCAGCTTTTTAACCCAAGATACCTATAGTGGACTTTCACTCCAGGAAGAGGTTAAAGATCTCGAATCTGTCAACGCAGTCGCACCACTTGGATTCGGATGTCACCAGATCTGGCACGTGATTTGCACCTAGCACTATTGCAAGACTGTTGGAAAACACCAGAGAATAACAACTAGAAACATTTACTTATCTGGATAGCTGCTTCGCGGCGGGTAATAGTACTGCTGAGAAAAGGCTAAAATCGCTGGAGCGTCCTCTGCCTTGCTTAAACAACCTTCAGGCCGATCTATGCTGGACGGAATCTCATCGATAAACTCCACTGAAGCCCACAAAGGGGCGCTGTAACGGCCAAAAGGCTTCACGCGGTATTCACTGAACACCGGAAGGCAACGGCATTTCTAAGCGTCCGAACTTCCAGAACGTTGCCCTGACATATTTTCAATAAGAAACGCTGTAAATGGGTTGAACCATCCTGATTCGCTCACTCTTGGTGGTTTTCTAGAAACTCCGGCATGGGAGGGTCAGACCGATAACGCAGCTGAGACGTCAATGTTATTGTGATGATGGATTGTGGGGGAACTTAACATCCGCAACGAGACGGGCACTGCGTTGATTTGTGCTTGTAAACCTGGTCAACGTGCGCTGAGGATACAACACCGCTCGTGTTTGACAACGGAAGCATAGCTTACGCATCGTAGGAACATAGGATTGGCAACGACGACGCGAGGCGATTGATTCTTTTAGCCACCTACCCCATTGGTAAATTCCTTCGGGCGCACCAACAGCGCCGGTTCCGCAAAGTTGGGCGGTCCAAGACAAAGGGCAGAACAGAATGATGGACCTTAGCTACACTGATATGTAGCGAACGTGATTGGAATAAAAGTTCCCACGTAAACCATTGAATTCTAGTGACGGCGACGGCACGCCACCAGTAGAGATACCTGCTGGCCTATTTTCATCACGAACCGACCATCCTTATGCTTTCTGTACCGGTCCCTAACCCCCAAATTTAAACTATCCCATGCTATTTGATCCGCCACACCGAAGCATCATGCAGGTGTGCACGTTTGGGCGAATGCAACGAAATGAGAAAATGTCCATGACTAAACGGTACTCACAGTGGTCCGATAGGTTCCCGGTACAGATTGTTCGCATGAACCGCAACCATCAGAAACCTAGTTGTTGTTGTTGAAATATTTCACTAAATGTACATGAAGTAGGAACGGGAAGACGTAAATGACTTCAATTTAGCGTCGCCAAAGACAGCTAGTTTAGGAAGCCGAGTAGTCCAGTTCAAGCATCATTCGCCTTCAGCGAAGCAGCGATGGGTGATTAGCGAGCGGGCGAATGGACGAAAGCAAACGGAAGGGCATCCCAAGCGGTTCCACACAATATTGTACAGCTGGGAGAAACAAATGAGTCGGTTTCCAGCTACATAATCGTATTTAGGTGCACTGTTTCTGGCTGTTGAAGCTATACTTATCGAGTATATAGAAGAGAATGATGGCTATGTGTTAAAGGCAATGGCCGGTTACTTTATTGAGGTCAGATGGATGTTTGTCTGGTACAGTAGGAATTGAGTTACCCACTGCAACTTGTAAGCTAACGCATCCACATCTATCAAGGTCTTCCGCCGTCACCCAGTGGTCCACATTCGGTCAGCTATCAACGCGGCTCAGCTAATTAGTAAGAGATTTGACGATTAGTTACTGAGTCATCGACCGACCGCTCTAACGTCTCCTCGGCCCGGTACAAGGTTGGACGAATAGGGATCTAAGTCAAACGGTCCCCAAGCATACAAAGCACGCGGACCAGCTAGCGCAAACATCGGAGGGTGACCAGTCAAACCATAGATAGTTAATCTTCCAACAAGCGACTAGGTGTACCGAAGTACTGCTGATCTGATGTCCCCATTCGAAACCTACAATGCTTCGGAAGTGTCGGGTCTTCTGAGTGTATCTACCACACACACAAAGTAGGACAGATCCAACCAGATCGTTGTACCTCTGGAGTCAAGCTATCACGACTGCACCACAAATACCAGAGGCTGGAAAACGATGGCCTCCTTGATTGGGATGATTTTGCCATTCCACCGGGATTCATACAGCTACGCGGGCAGACGAACTTATCTACCACGTGGACCGGTACATCTGTAAACATGAGGTTCGAGTTTGATCTCATACACCGGCAAGTTACACTTTATGGATGCAAAGCGTATATCGAATCATGAAGCGGAATTAGTTGCTATTTAAAACAGTTTACATTTCTGAAGGGCTCGATCCAATAATATGTCGGCTTGACATCGTAAGTGCTCAATGTTACCCAAACGAGTAATATTCATTAGATTTGATGTTGTCCAACAGATTGTCCTCACACTCATGTTGTGTTGACAATCGACTCAGGTGGCACTTCGAAACACGATATGGTCATGCTTTTCGATGTGAAGCAAGACTAAGTGCACGGCTTCAAAGCCGAGAGGTATAGACAAACAGATACAGTGAAACGATGGTTATAGCCATTGAGCAATACTGCGCAACTTAACTATAACGTGATACCCAGTCTGATTACTCCCGATGCAACCCATAATCACAGACGAAAGCAGTTAAACTACTCTGTTCAAGAACAGACCGTCAGTATAAACGATTCCGTAGTAGCCAGATGAACCCTTCTCATCCGTGCTGTGGACTGGCTAATACGACGCGATAATCCGGGTGCCAAAATACCAAAATGCTGGTAACTCAGGTTCGCTTCACGCAGTGTAGGATCCACATCGTACAGTTCACTTTTACCTGACAAGTCGTACATTTGGAGCAGAGAAAACTAAAAGATAACGCACGAGATTACAATCGACAGTAATTCGATGACAGTTTAGTCGATAAGCTCTAAACTTCGAGCAATCAACATACTAATATGGATTCTATTCTACTAGACGGACAACTACTTGGAAACCAGTGAGTAGAATAAGCAGCGCTCCAGGGTCAGCACAATGAAGATTGAGGATCAAATACTTCTGTTAGAAAAACAAGGTTTTCCAAGAGTTAAGGCATCTGAAAGCACAGAAATTGCACATAACACCACTTAATCAAGTTATTGGACACAGTTCAACACCGCCTCATTGCGAAACACGCATCGATGTATGACAGATCGACAGAGTTTTCGAATTCGCTGAGAAGTTCGTGCGCATTGATGCGCTCAGGAACGCCAACCAGAGCCTGAGCGGGACAAAGAGAAAAAAGGTTCAAATCAGTTAAAAACAACTGATAAGCCATATTTGCAACAATAAGAGACTAAAATGAATCTCGGATGAGTGCTTCTATCCTGAAAACCTACAGAACTTTCATCTGATGAAGAATCCAGAAATGATGGCCCGTGTGTAAAAAATCTACGCGAAAAAGGACCGCAACAGAACAACGCGAAAACACATTTCGGCCTTTTTAACTGAAACCTAGTTGGAAGTTCTGCTATTACTCTATTCATAATCTAAATACATACACCACACATGTCACTAAACACACACACGAGAACGCAAGACTCTATTGGAATTTCCGAATATATACAAATTAAATTTGCTGTCAACCGTCTGTGGGATTCTTGTGGGACTTAAAGAGCGAGCTAGTAAGTGAACCTACAGGTCAACAGTAGCGTAAATACGAAATTGTGGTGAGTAATGTATCGGAGACTTCACTCCGATATTATAAGGTGCCTGTTGGGCGAGAGCATGCTCACACCATGTTCCCAATTAAGAACCAGCGTTTTCGCCTAGTGCTGCTGTCAATGATGATGATTGAGTGTTGACTCTTGCGACACGTAAATGTACGTTTCGAGGGCACTCACATGTCCAATAAAGTAAATATTCAAAGACGGGTGTTCTCATGATTTTGTCACAGCTGTTTTCCACCAAACGAATCCACGTAACAAACACAAACATCGGTTGACCTAGGCAATGAGCATGAACGATGTGAAAAGGGAATGACTGAAGTGTTCACAGAAACTCATCCCTGAACTGAGTACAAACTCGAACAGGAGGGGGATTGTTCGGTAGGTAAGTCAATTGGAAACTGACTGTGCTTCATAAAAATACGGGCAATCCATTATCAATTACCTTATCTCGGACGTTGATAACAGGTAAGGAGCGTGCATCAGACAATTGTTTGTTGCACACAGATGCATCGAGCGAGCATGGTGAAATTAAATCGAAGCATACAAACCACACCATCCCGACCTGTGAAATGAAGCTCAACGGCAAAGTTCCTACCTACTGATCCTGTTACGGATCGACGTTCAGCGAGAAAACAAACAAGTTAACTCAGACCGAATTTCGCAACGTTTGCGTCCTATGAAAAGCCGCTGGACGCCCAATCGTACCAGATGGCACTAGGCACACGAGACACGATGCGGTGAAAGGTCGAAAGTCAAAATGATTTATTAGACAGCACATTATAGCAATGGAACCTAGAACCAAGAATCTAACCGGATCCAAACACTTAGGTTATTCCAACACGTCCCGAACGGAATGCTGGTGGCAAGTTCGTGAAAAATTGACTCGCGAAGTCAGTAAGAAATTTTGAAGCCTAACTCGGCAGTACGTTTGAAAACCTAAACCGGAAAAATGCTCTGCTGAGAGTGAAACTGAACCCTGCAGTCACGGATTGATTATCCATCCTGATTAGGCGTGAGAACAAGACGGAATAGTGCTTTGCTTGTCTGGGAATAAACGTATACAATTTGAAAATGGAGGCGAAGGCACGGTAATAGGAGAACTAGCTCCAAACGTAACTGGAATACACAACTGCAAATGAACTAACCGTTTTCGTTGAGACAGATTTAATTGGTTGTTCTTCACTTGCCCCTAACAGATAAGTTCTATTTTTAGCATCACATTTTGGCCCGCATATAACTTTCCACGTGAGCTCTATAAACAGCCCATTTTCGGCTACACATGACGAATGTACGCGTCAGTGTTCAACAGATCAGCTGATTCGCACGTCCATTGGCTTTCTGGTCTGGCCAGGCGCAGCAGGCATAATCATCATTACCGTCATTGTCAGCTGTGATAACCGTGTACTCGTCGTATAGTGGTTGTAGCTGCCGCAGTTTCGTTCACCGATGATTTGGAAGGGGGGGGTAGGAAGCAATAGGCTACCAAGCGGGCTCACGTTATTGAATCATTGGGAAAACGTCAATACGAAACAACAATAGAACATAAAGAACGGTCACGACACTCGAAAACCTCGGATTGAGCTTCCTACGGACAACCGGAAGAAAGTTTTTACCCTCAATTCCATAAGACAATAAGCACCCCGCTAAACACAATGATAGGATGTTAGAGATCGCAAATCCATTTAAGTAATGAAGGTACAAACGCGATCACCCTCTCTAGGGGGGCAACGAAGTAAAAAAAGGTGCGATTGATTCGTAATGTCTGTTGCGTTGACGGCCTAGGTTTCGAACAACGATATTTGTCACCGTCAACTCGAACTTATGTAGCAAACCGAAGCAGATGCCAAACATGGTGACACAAAGGGTTCACAAGACAATCTGAGTATGAAACATGCTTCTCATAATGTATGAAAGCTTTTCCACAGTAGTTATACATTTGATCAATGAAATCAACGGTGTTTGAGACGTCCTGTAGTTTACAAAACTTGGGGTTCGACCTCCACCATATTCAGCTAGGGACCAAAAGGCTCGATTTTCCATCTAAACGACTAGCGTGAAATTGACACGTATGGTAATGCAATAAAGCAGTTGTCAATGGGATACTCACTTTCAGTTTGGCCTTGTCCTCCCGTTTACGAGCTTCAATTAGTGAGCGACGTTCCTCTTCGGCACGCCGCAACTCTTCATCGCGTCTACGTTCAGCCTCACGGGCCATTTCGGCTTCTTGACGCCGCCTCTCTGCTTCTTCCCGTTCCCGATTGGCCCGCTCTTCAGCAGCTCTGGAAGTCCATTCGGACTGTCTCCGCGCTTCACGCATGATCTGTAGTGCTGCGGCCTGTTTCTCTTCAAGTTCTTTCCCGGCCTTATTCGCACGATCGACCCCTAGAGGCTCAGTTGAGTCTACAGTAGTGTGAGGTGGATTCTGGGCTACTTTGCTTGCCGATATCATAGACTCATGTTCTGGTGGAGGGATAGACGTACCAGCACTGACCGGCACGGCCTTCGACGGTGTTTGGCTGGACTCAGTTGATTGGACCTGTCTTTTTGTGTACGGAGAAGTTGCCCAGACAGGCTGACGTAAGGCACAAGGTGAGCCAGAATCCGACTCCGTCTCTGATGCGTCATCGATCCTATCTGCATCCCCTGCATTAGCAACATGATGGTCAGTGCTGCAGGAAACAGCGTCCCCCCTAGAACAAACATTATCTATGTTACGTTTCTTTTGTGGTGATGCGGTAACAGTCGCAACATTGGTAGTCGGTGGTGTACATGTTGCAGATATGCGTTCGGGAGTAGCACTGACGTTTGCTCCTTGACGAATTACCCCTGCGAAGGGTGTAGGATCTGAAATTCACATGAATAACGAAAGTCGCTATGATTCCCCTCATGCTAAAAAATAAGCCAACCCATGTGCTAACATCAAGAAGACTTCACTTCGATATCAATGGATTTATCACGTAAAAATTACATGCTAAGGACTGTACAAAATGCAATTAGATATCTTATGGTACACGAGGCCAAGAACGGTGGTTGTGTGTTAAGTACAATTGTCTGGTCGAAAGTAAGCAGCAAGTGCTGTGGAAGTAGATAATTGAAGAATAGATGTACATAAAAGTGGACGCGAGCCACTGCGGCCAGAGCATCAGACTTCAGTTCATGAGCAACACCCTGGTAATTATGTCCTTAGTAAGTGAAGTCAATGACTTGATGTTAGCACACAGTGGCTGCGATGGGAAAATTTACAGGCCTATGGTAGAGGAAAACCAGGCGCCAGGCATATGAAACTTAGATGTAGGGCGGGGATAAGTACAAAAAACAAACGTGACGAGTTAACAGTCTCAGAAAGAAACATGAAGTAATGACGAGACAAGCGCATGGTCGGGAATCAGTTTGTGATAATGAGAAATTCTGTCATCATGACTCACTATCGGATTTCGAATCAGACGAATCAGACTCACTTGAGTCTGAGGTGCTCTCCGAATCACTCCCACTAGAAGACGATGCACTCAATCTATTGGAGCTGTCTATAAATGAAAACAAGTTAGCGGAAAATACTGACAGTTAACTTACGTTGCTTTTTGTTATGATGTGCGTTGTGGAAACCGGAAGCACTGGAAGGAAGGCCTCGCATTTCGCGAAGTCGACTTTCAATCTCTTCCGTCTTCTCTTTCATACACTCTTCTCTCGATTTACCCGGAGTGGCGGTATTGGGACCCTTTTTCACATACTTGCGACTTCCCGATTTCGCTTTCTGCAGAACTGACTTCACATACTTTTCTAGTTCTCGTAAAGTAGTATGCTGAAGGGTTTCGAAGTCTATTTCTATTTCATCAGGGTTGCAATCCCGATGGGAAGGCTCACGCTGCTGAATAATTTGCACAACTCCGCCGAGTTTCTCGCCTGGTAACTTATTTATGTCAATACTCAGCTGCCGTTTCTCATCGTACGTCATCGGCCGAACATTGTTCTCGGACATTTCTTCATCAGTCGCATATCCATGGACGGTGGACTGCGGATGACCAGTTGCATTGGTGGCATTAAGTGTGGGAGCTGTAGAGGTCGGGAGAGCTGAAATACATTGAAGCATATTAAAGGATTACTAGTGCGTTGGTTCAAATACACTACACAACAAAAACATCCATATGCCCCACTAATGTGGAGGACGTGAGCAAACGTTTGCAGAAATACGAGACCTTAGCGACCCTGTGCACCACAAGCATTTTTTTAATGTTGCGTTCACGTCTTCGTGGAAAGTTAAACGTGAAATCAGCCCTACTGGAAAGTGACAAAGGTGCTCTAGTGTGTGCAGTCAAAAACGGCAATAAGGTCGCAACATAATAGATGATACGTCCAAGGCAAAAATAAACAGAGTAAGCTGACGTCTAACTGGAAAAGCTGACATCAAAAATCAAACTAACCTGTGGATTGGCGATATTTCGATTTGGATTGGGACTGACGACCCTTCCTACGAATAGTTTAGCCAATGATGAAACGAACACTTACCTGGAAGAAACCCCGTCATCAAAGGATTCATTGGAAACGGGGCGCAGACTCGCACCCGCAGATTGTCCAAGGGGGACAGAATTGAGTTGAGGAACTTGTCCCGTATTGGCAGAAGCTGTAAATTAGGCGATGAAAGCAACAGGCAGTACCTCGTTTAGCTTGAGTATTCAGAGTGCTGATGATAGAGTACGAACACTTGAAGAAACCCCGTCATCAAAGGATTCATTGGAAACGGGGCGCAGACTCGCACCCGCAGATTGTCCAAGGGGGACAGAATTGAGTTGAGGAACTTGTCCCGTATTGGCAGAAGCTGTAAATTAGGCGATGAAAGCAACAGGCAGTACCTCGTTTAGCTTGAGTATTCAGAGTGCTGATGATAGAGTTCAAGTTTGCTGCGCTACGTTGCAACTCTTCGTTGCACCTCTGGAACTGAACAGTAAGCCTTTGGTGTTCCTTTATGGCATTTTGGATCAGCTGATAGAGATTTTGATCAATCGACCGATCAGGAGAAGGAACGACCTCTGATTCATCGTCGGGTACTTTGGCAAAACTTTCCTCAAATATCGCTTGTAAAAGCTTCCCAACTTTCGCTACGTCGCTGTCCTCACCATTGTATTTATAGCAGTTATTAAACATCAGCCTGATGTCATCGGCAAACTCGTACTTGGAATGATATTGACCGGTTTCCAGCTTCGTTTTGACAGTACTGAGGTCCATGGCTTTTTTCACGACGTCGTGATAATCATGTAAACCCATGGCTTCTGCGTCAACCGGTTTGAGGAACAGATGGTTCAAGTCCTAAACGGAGATATAAAACGGATTTCAGAACACTTACTCTATACCGCTGTGAAGAAATATCCTTCAATATGTTGTTGCACGCTTTCAGTGCCTCGGATAGTCGCAAACGCTTGGCGACACTCCGCTCTTCATAATCACGCTTCGGCTTTTTTATCTGGCGACGATCGCGTGAAGGATCGTCGAGTGAATGAGGAGTTTGAGGTAGATCATCAAGGAGGTTTTCCATTTTCTTCTTGGACGCCTTTTTTCCGGTGCTGGAACTAGATGATCGAATGGCTGGACCGCTCGGTTCAGAGGATAGCGATGTTCCATTCAACCCTTCGACGTGATTCAGATCTGGCAATGGTGCAGGGGGGTCATCAGTAGAACGCAAGGATGGAACTGGCTTAGTGGACTTGGAGTTCTTCTGGGGACAGATTTCAGTTTCGGGTGAAGGCATAGATTTCAAGCGTTCTCTGGCCAACTGTTCAAGCTTCATTGCCATGGCAACTACGTCATCACCAGGCTTGTTGAAAATATAGCAGTTACGGAACATAGTGAAAAGATCATCGAGGCACTCCGAAGAGGAATGATAAAACTTGAGGTTCAACCGCTGTTTTATAGTGCCTAGGTCCATTGGGTGCTTCACTATCCTGGGATAATCCTAGGATTTCATAAATGGTAAGAGTGGAACTTACGGGCAAATTAAGTCGTTCATGATCCACCGGTCGAGTAAAGGGCCATACAATTTTCTCCTTTAGTAACCGACCAACAACTTCTTTCTTGATATACTCTAGTTGATTCGTGGTTATCTTGGATGGATGTGATTTGGATGAGTGTGGATCGGGTTTAATCAAAACGGAGGAATCCATATTCACCACACCACTCATCAGGAGGATAAGCGATTAACCAAAGCCTACAAACAGAAGGAGAAAAAAACCCAATGAAGAAGACTAAGATGTGGAGGCAAACCTACCGGTAAACGCAATAGCAGAAAAGGGTAAACAAAGGGCATGGGCTATAGGTTTGTCCGGTCACCAAAAAGACTGAACTACGGGCGAACAGACCACCCAAATGGTTGTGGCACGTAGGACTGACATGCTTTACCCACCGGCCCAGCCCTAGGCTTTCACCTTGTCATAGCAGTCAGGGATCTGTGCTGGGATGAATCTGCGGGCGAAGTCGTACTGAGCTCTGCAACAGAAGATTTCCGCCCCAGTTGACCTGGGTGCTATGCTTATGGAAGCATTGAAGCCGCCTTTCCCCGGGGAAGTACGGATGAGAAAAGTTTGACTCGTACATTCCCATCGTTTAACGGTTGATCGTGAGCAGCTCCTCGTTCACCGGGCTTTCTCTACACACTGCCCCACCCGTTGAATGATGCCGTGATCAACCCATATGCCAGTCTTCTAACCATGGCTGCGCATCCAAAAGAGCAACCAGCAAAATTAGCACTCAATAAACTCCAAAGATGTGATCCACTTTGAAGACTTCAATGTCCGTGAACAACACCCCCTTTTGGAGCTAAACATTCCCTTCCTATTTATGCACGTTGCGCCCCCGAACACACACTGGATTCCAGTAACAGTCGTTCTTGTGCTGGCACTGCAAACGAGGACGGATTTTACCGATTTCACCTAGCGAGAATGGATACTCATTCTAAGCTCGAAAGCACAATTAGGTAGTGGATCTAGTTACCGTACGGATAGTGGGGAATGACTTTCCTCAGTTGTATGCTCGTTTTTGTCATTACGAAGTTTCAGCGAAGTCAATCACACCGAGTAACTTGAAGGACATCAACTGCAAACCTGCCACGAACTGAGGCCGTGTGGCTACCAGTTACCGACGAATAGCCTCAACCAAAGACTGCCGTTCTCTTCGCCTCCGGGACGTTCGCTCGTACACATTGAGTAGGCAGAAGATATTGCTCTCCTTCGTTCAGATCCTTTAAAAAATGCGAACCAGCTTAAATAACCTGAATGATTGTCGCACGGTTCGGCATGCGCATCACACCTGTGAAGCGTAAGTGCTGCTACGAGACTGAGTGGGGCCAAACTCAAACCTTATACTTGCAGGTGAGCCAATCGACGAAGTAGATAAATTTGTCTACCTGGGCACTTGTTTAGTTTTCGGTGCACTGGCTGGAGATGAAATTACTTCCCGAATCGGGAAAGCCAAGGCAACTTTCCCAACCTCCCATGGCGCCGTAGTGACGTCCGTTCGTCTGTCAGGGGCAGAGTTTACGCTGCGGCGGTGCGATTCATACTGCTTTATGGATTAGAGAAATGACCTCTACGCGCAGAGGACGTACGATGGTGTCTCCGAAGCATTGGTCACGTCTGGTGGGAACATCAGATTAGCAATACTGGTGCACGCCAAATGGCCTGAAGAAGACGGAACTCTCCCGCGATAGACGAATTACTCTTCATAGGTTACGCTGGGTCAAACATTTGCTCCACATGTCAGAGGACCGTCTGCCCCACAGAGCTCTTTTCGCCCAGCCCAGTGTTCAATAGAGGCGACCGAGAGGTGGACAGCTATGATCTGGCAACAATGCATGAAAACACTGACCAATGAATTCATTCGGTTTGAGAACAGCCGGTTTCCCGGATAGGGACCCCGGGGCTTAACACACCAATCGTCAATGACACTGAGGGACATGGCTAAATCACTCGGCGGCGCCCCTGAACAAAAGCTATTGCTTTCAGCGTGTAGGTCCCCAACCTTTCAGGGCTATAAATAGTGCGAACTAACTGACTGTACCACCGCCCTTAGCGCTTGGCTGTATCTCCTACGCTCTCCCATTTTCTCGTGACCGGGACTGTAGTAGATGGAAACAACGTTATTCTCTACATAGTTTATAGCTGATAAATTGAACTGAAATGACGGTGTGCAAAAAAGATTTCGCTCACCGTGGCACAGGGCTGTGCAGAGCCATATGTTCCCTAATATTAAGACCAATTTCATTGACATCGCAATACGGTACTTTAGTGAAGCACCTGGGATCTGTGTCAAAGAGTAGAGCCCAGAACAAGGCGGCGTGACAGATTTCGCAGCTGACCACAGGCTGCCACATTAGAAATTTGTACCGAGAGCATTCAGTATAAAACGGCCGAAGAAAACCAACATGACGCCACTTATTTCCTGACAGTTTAACCAGCGTTGACAGTGATACAACGGGTCCGCCAAAGACAAGCAGAGGTGACTACTCCTGGAGGTATCCGCATCTCCCCAACTTCCTAGGTGTAGCCATAAATTCTAGAGCCCAAATGACTGGTGATTTTGATGTTCGTTGATTGCAAACGCGGATCTTGACAACATAGCATGCCTAAACTATCCTGATGGCGAGTCGATGTCTTAGCTAGGGTGTAAACGAACAGGCACTCATGTAAAGGCTCTCCAACAAAAGAGCCCATAAGGATGCCTACTCATGGTTGTCTTCGTCATGCTGTCGACACACCAACAAAGGATGTCAGATCATAAGAATCCGGACACTGAAATCCATTCCAAAGAACTGAACAACTGATTTGGGAAAGATGATGTTTGTACATGTGAGAGAATTACTGCACGGGTGACTTCAACACTGAGTGAAGTGAAAAGTTCAAAAACCTGTAAACCGCAAATTACAGTACGGCTGTATCGGAAATAGCAATAATGGGGGTAACAGTTGACTCAAGTATGGTCAAAAACCGTCCGAATATTATTCAACCTAACCGTTTCAGAAACACGAGAAACTTGCGTACCCACTGCTAACGGTGCCCCATTCGTTAGGGAGGGTGATAACCAAAAAACAGACGATTCAGGAAGGTTTCTTTAAAAAACAGCAGTATGGGGGAAAACAACCAAATTTAGTGGCCTTAGCCATTGCGGTATGCTTTACCGCTTTAAAACCGGTTTTGGGTCATTGTAAGGTTGAAGTATCGTCCGCTTGGTAACCAGTCTTGAGTTCGAAGCCAGGTTGTGGCGTTTTACCCATGTGATGGAAAGCAAAACGTGACACAGACCAAAAGAACAGTGAGCGAACAAAAACACGGAGCATAGGGAGTCACTGGTCGAACCGCGAAACAATTGGTAAAAATGGATGAAGGGATGAAGAAAAAGGAATTAAGACAAAGCTTTGGTCCAGTAACTTATCAATGGTGATATGGTGGGGGACGATAAGTCATTCGAGGGCCTAAGAGTGTTGATCGAACAACCAACATACTTGCATGTAGTTAGCGAATTCCCGTGGGAATCTGATTGTTGCGGCATTTGAATATTATCGAATGGACGGGTGTAGTCAGGGGAGGTAAATCGGGCTCCCTGAATAATCGCGGTTATGCCAACGGCGAAAAAAACAGGCGCATTCGAGACGTTAGGGAATCGGCTATCTCTACGGCTTGGAAGGACTTATTGCAGGTCAACTATTCCAACCAAACACTGCTGACGGAGACAACACGTGACAAAGCTTAGGGAATTTCACTCAAATGCAGCAGTGGTGAAACCAGTTCATTTCCAATGAGCAATTTGTGATAATGACGTGGTGAGTCCAAGGACGAGCTCAGAGACTGATTTATTCAGTAGAATGATATCAGTACCGGAATGCAAGATAAAGGCATTATCGATTGAAGCAGCAGGCAATAATAAATCTTCCACCTTTGCATTGCGTGGCCTTTTGAGATGAACTCCCTCACATGTCAAACCACTAGGGGTGCTGAATACTGCCATGTTTCACCGCCTTTCGTTAACGAATTCAGATGCACTTGGTAATTAGACTTCAGCGTGCAAAATGCATTCGGTACGCAGTGGGTCACGGTGGAGGAGGGTTGCACAGTTCAGCTAGAAAGACACTACATCACCTTTACAGAGCTCGATTATACCCCGCCCCTATCTGTTCACTCGACAGAAACAAAAAAGCCAATCCAGAAGTAGCACAAAACATAAGCAGAGTCCCGTAAGGTGAGGAGAATCAATCAATGAGGGCAAACGGCGGGAAACAGATATGTCCACAAACGAACACCAATAGTCAGTTTTGACCGGTGATACAGTTTTTTATGGCTGCTTCCCCATCCTAGCATCCGCCACAGCTGAGTCGAACTGCTCAAGTGAGTCAACAACTAGGGATATATTTGTGCATCCCATTTCATTTCGAAAACGACATTAAACAAGGTAACCATGCGCACATCAGCTAAATGCCACCACAACTCTTGTTTTCCTTTTCGAATTTTGGTCCGTTGCTCACAGTGACTCGTTGTTTCACCTACCGGTTACGTAAAACACTCCACGAAACAGTTGTCATGCGGTGACCTAATCGGACAGGTCGACGTCACAGCTTGAGATAACAATCGTCAGGCTGTTATAGATACAGGGCTAATATATTGGCTTTCGACAAAAAAACATCTCGAATTTATCGCCAGATTCTTTGGCATTATCGCCTTTCATGGTCCCTACAAGGAGGCATGACATGCGTCGAGAGCGAGCCGTTTCGACTGGAAAAATAATTGCACAAAGTAAATAGACGTATGTGCCAGATAAATGAATATTCAAATGCCTTGGTTGCTCTCTGCGAACCACATACGCCTAATTCGAGCTTATTACGAGCGGCGTCTTCAGATGGTATTCGACCACACAACAGCAAGTATTCCTTCACACAACAAAATCGGGCCCCGGCGGACAACACCTGCACAATCCAAGTAAATCCATAAATCCGCATGATCGTTCTGTAGGGTCACGGTGGTAAGTGCTAAAGTAGCAGCGAAACGAGCTGATAATCTCAACCGGCTTGTGGCAGTTACGCGACGAGAAACAGCAAAGGTGTATGTGATACTTACCGGGCGCAGCAGACACCCTGGCCGAGGTATTAATGTGGCCTGAAGAGACAAGGAACAAGGATCAATCAAATATCGCCCAA